TTTTGATGTAACACTATGTTCCAATAACTCTCTTTTATTAAAGTTATCATTTTAGTGCTAGAAGCTTCTGTACTTTACAATATTTTTGTTATGAAGAATGGTATTAAAGATGGCTTGTTCTAAGCCAGGCATGATGGGACACATCTTTAATCACAGCAGTTGGGAAGTAAAGGGAGGAAGATCAGAAGTTCAAGGTCATCCTCAGGTAGATAGTGAGTCTGAGACTAGCTGGGGCTACATGAGACTCTGATTTTTTTAAAAAGTAATTACTTTTGTTTTTAATCATAAAATTATTATTTAAGAAATGGAAAAAGAATACAAGCAAATGTTGCTGAATATATGGATATATGAAATTTGATTTGTTAATTCAAATGAGTATAGAGAGATCACTATGGATGGGGTGTGGTTTTACATACTGGTAATATAGATGTAAGTAGAACAGATATTAATAATTTTTCTTAAGAAGCTTATATTCTAGTAAGTATTTGGATAGTAAGAAAACAAGTAACATGTTAGCGAAACATAAAATATCATACCGTGTGACGTGCCATGGAGAAAGATCAGAGAGAAGGAAAAGCAGTGTTGGTGGAGGGGATGGTGCTCGTGACTCCTTTGGCTGTGTTTTGCAGCAAGATGGTCACAGCCTGGTGGCATGGACCCTGCCTGGTGCTGCTTACCCCACATCCTTGCATAAGGTTATTATTAATGTGGCACTTAACAAATGCTGAGTGGATAGCTGAATGTACTGGGTGTTAAATGAATTCCCACTTTAACCTGTATATGCTTTCTTTCATCATAATACCCTGTATAGAACCTAATTCACTTATTGCTTATCATTGAGACTCTGCCTTACTTAGCTAGAAGGTAATCTGAACAAGAGTAGGAGTCAGTAAACAGCTGTTGAATGAATAGATGAATTTTAGAATGTAGTTTTCCCATAGGAGACAAAGGCGCTTATCACATATGAATTTTATTTTGCTGCTTTTGGGAACATGTATTTTGATAACTACTGACAAAGTGATAACTCATATGTTTGTGAGCATTAAATAATATGCTTACAAAGCTAATTTTGATGGCAAATTCCTTGGCATATAAAAATTTAAAATACATTAGCTATGTAATTGTTAAACTGTCAGTAACACAGTTTCAGCCATTTCTTAAGATTTTTAAAGGGGACCTGGTCAAGGAAGCTATAATGTTCATCAGTTTTCAGAAAAATGAGAAAAAGGCAAATAAATATAGATTTAAGTCTTTTAAATAGACTTGATGGATTAGAGTTAGATGTTTTTACTGATTTAAAGTTACTTTACCTGAAATGTTTTGTTGTTTTCATTTGAAGAAAACTTTTTGGTCTTTATTTTCATCCAGGATATGAAGCCACATCCACAAATAGTCTTCTGAGAAACAATGTGTTTCTTTACTCATCCTCAGTGAAAGGCCTAACGTTCAAAAGATGAAGTTTCTACTTGAGAGAACCATTGGCAGTAGAGAAATGCATCCTAAGGACCTGGTTTAGGAGTACGGCATGGGAAAGAAATTGCCACCAGGGGCACAGTACTGGATTAGGGCAGAAAGGGCATGTGTCATGCTTTCCCTCCAAGTCATCCGGACACGTGCAGTGATTTGCTGAAGGCAGTTTGGGAACATTTTTGTTCAGTCTTTTAAGTTTCCTAAGGGTGAGACACCTAGACTTTTCTTTATGTCAACTCACCCAGAGCCATGAGCCAGGGACAGGAATTGATTACGTTTTCCCTCAAGAAAGTAGGAAGGAGACTTGTTGGGAAGAAGGGAGTCAGCGGAGTGGGCAGGGGTAAGAGAAGGTGGTTGGGGTGTGAGTATGAGCAAAGTGCATTATCTTCGTGAAAGAAATTGTCAAAGAATAATTTAAAGCACTGAAAAAACAGCGGTCAATAAGTTTACAGCCATTTCCTGGTAGAAAGCTGTCAGCCATTGTGTTTTTATTAAGAATTTATGATTATGCCAGGCGTGGTGGCGCATGCCTGTAGTCCCAGCACTGGGGAGGCAGAGGCAGGCAGATCTCTGTGAGTTCAAGGCCAGCCTGGTCTACATAGTGAGTTCCAAGACAGCTGGGGCTACAGGGAGACCCTGTCTCAAAAAGACAAAAAAAAAAAAGAATTATGATTATTTATAGAGACGCAACAATCACATTATAATAGGTAAAGACCTACAGGACTCCAATGTGATTTCAAAATCTTAGCTTACCTCTTTAGTCATTTTTATACCCTTTCTTGCTAGAAACTTCTATATGATTCTGTAATACTATTCTATGTTATGTTAGCAATTTTAAAGTCTGATTAGAATCCTAGTATTATATAATGCATAATAGAGAATTTATGATAAAAATAAATGAGAAAATATGATATGGGCCTTTTCCTCTTTTGTAGTTATAATGCCAAACAGGGTTTGAAAACCTCTCTGAAAGTCTGCTTTAAAGTGAGCCTTTCTCTGAGAATTTATTTTTGTTGTTTCTTTTTTGTTGTTCCTGTTTTTGTTTCACAATGTATTTTTTTAAATGTTTCATACATCTTAATCATATTTAGACTTCTCCCTATCTGCAATCCCCATAGCTCTATTACCAGATTTCATGCATTCTGTCATATATTTTAAGGCCTATAGAGTCAAGTGTGTGTACTCAGATGTCCCTTGACAGAAGCAGCCTATCTAGTCACTCTCTTAAGGAGGCCAGTTCTCCCTCACCCATCAGTAATCAATCAGCTGCCCAGCTGCCAATAGTTCCTTACCTGAGGTTGAGGGCCTCCTGCCCATTTCCCCAGTTCTATGCTGGCTTGTCTGATTGAGTTTGCTTGGGTCTTGTGCATGTTGTCACCATTGCTGTAAGTTCATGCGAGCAAGTTCCCAAAGGCCTGGAAGACTCTGTTTCCTTATGATCATGTGCCAACCCTGGCTCTTACAATCTTTCTGCCCCCTCTTGTACAATGGTCCCTCAGTCATGGGTGGGTGAGGTTTAATATGATTCCTATCCAGGGACATGTTCTCTGCAGTCTCTTGTTTGCTATACTTTGGCCAGTTGTGGCCTTCTGTGTGGATCACACTGTTGCATGAGGAAGCTTCACTGCTGAGAGTTGAGAGATGAATTAGTATTCTCTCTACCTCTTGTTCTACTATGTTCCATGAGTCTTAGGTGTAGAGGTTCCATTGTTGATGTGTCACTTAGAGCTGGTTTTTTATACCACCTAAGCTTTATTTATCTGTCCTCTCTCTCTCCCTGTCTGACCTCCCTCCTCCTTTCTCAGTTAAATTATCCCCGTTTCTCCCACTTTCCTCTTGATAACACCTGTCTCTTATTTTCTCCCTTCTCTTGAGCTCCTTCTTCCCCTTTCCCCCTGTGGTTCCTTGCATATTCTTCCCAAAACATCCTTTGCAAGTCACAGAATTATTTTGCATACCACCAGGAAAGGGAAGTACTGACAGTAGTACGCTTTTAAGACTAAACTTCAAGAAATGCCGTGCAATAAAACAGAGCTATATTTTAAAAGTAAAATATGAAAATTATGAATTTTTGGCTCATTTTGTCCATTTTAGTAGTTTCAGAACTTGTTCACAGACTTCTTCATAGAATTCCAGAACCAGGAAGGACAGCCTCAGCCTTCTCAGATTTGCATGGTCAACAGGGCAGGTCTCACTGCCTCCTGTAGCATAGTCAACAGGGCAGGTCTCACTGCCTCCTGTAGCATAGTCAACAGGGCAGGCCACAGGCCTGGCCCACAGCCTTCTAGCCTGCCTCATCACAATAGCTACTTCACAGGCCGCAGTTTCTGCTTTCTGTGGTTCTTCTAGTGTGGTTTACTCACCTCTGCTTCAGGTGAGGGTACATCAAAAAAAGCTCCACTGTGGCCAAGAACTTCCCTGCTCCTGGACCCTGAGATAAGCTTCACTGCGGATAATTCTCTTTTAATCCTCTCATGATATGTGTATGCTTGGGCTCCATGGAAGAGTAAAAATATTTGGGTTATTTTTATTTAGGTGTGTGCATGTTTTGCCTGCATGCATGGGCATGGAATCCCCTGGAACTGGAGTTACGGATGGTTGTCAGCTACCATGTGGGTTCTAGGAACAGAACCCAGGTTCTCTGCAAGAGCAGCCAGTGCTCTTAACCACTGAATCATCTCTCCAGCCCCGATAGTAGATTTTTAACTACCCCATGGATGGTCCAAATCTTCCATTTCTGTTTCTTCTTATCCTGTCTACTTTACTTAAGAGGAGGGTCATTATAAATATTATTCATTAAGAGACCATCATTCTCAATGCAATAGATAGGTGGGAAAACCTCTCATTTGCGAAGTATTACATTACCATGTTAGCACACCATATCTTCAACTGCCTGTTTGTGAAGATTTCTGCTTGCTGCTAGGCATGCTGGCATATACCTGTAATCACAAGTTCAAGGCCAGCCTGGGTTGCTTAGACAGACCCTGTCTCAAAAAAACTAAAAAAGATTTTTGCTTGTTGAAATAAATAATACAATCTTATATGGAAGTTTAAAAATTAAATGAGAGAATCCACACTAAATTTTCTAATTCCATAAAATAAATCATTTTAATAATAGTTTACAATGGAAACAGTAAAGGCACATCAACTCTGTATAAACAACAAATTTTCAATTTAAAAAATATATTCATCATATTAAACTCAAAGTAATGGTGGAACAATACTGTTATAATTTTCCTGAATAATTTTATTTTTATATATTATGAATATACACAATATTGCAGCAATTTATGGTGTTACAGTGCTTGGTAACCTTAAAGAATTAAAATAATTTTTATGTAGAAAATAAAAATTAAATAATTAAAAAACCATTTGCATAACTTTTTTGAAAGGAAATAATACTTTTTCCATAAAAATAAGTTAAGCAGCTTATATTGAAATGTTCTGCTAAAGTGTTTAGAAAATAGTTACATTCATTTCTGGTAGTGTGCTCCAACATTCTTACCTGCTATTCCTTTTTGCTTGATAAAATGAGGTGCAAGCTGTTTACCTGAAACAGCTTATTTTCACAAAAGAGGAATCAACACATGAAATAGAATTAAGACCCCAGTTTAGTACGATACAGATAAAAAAAAAATTCAGTTAGAAAGTGTATGTCTCCAGGCCTTTGAGGTGACACATGCTGGATTCAACTATGTCAAAAGTAGTTTTTAATCATGTTATCCTGTAATTTCAGAGTAGCATGCTTGTCCATTACAGGCCCTTCCTATGATTTAAAGTGTAGAGTTCCATCAACTGACTCAAGCAGTTGACTCAGGATTAACTTCTGCTTATAAAAGATGGAGAGAAGTAAACACCTCCATTCTCCACCAAGCAGGATCTTTTTCCACTTGGAGGCCAGATGCCTCTGGCACGTAGTCGTAAGAAAATAAGGCTGAGCGCAGTGATAGTTACGATCCAGATTTTCTGATTTACCTGGAGAAATCTGGTTTGATTTCACCAAATCAGAAAGACTTGCCACTGGAAGCATCTGAGTGGCAATTTGCTGATGAACGTATGCGTGGCTGTGTCCTGCTATTCGCTTTAGTTTTCTTTTTCTTTTTCTCCTTCGTTTTGCTCGTCTTCTTCTTCTTCTTCTTCTTCTCCTCTTTATACCACGGTCCCCAGACGCCTCCATTGAGCCCAGGGTTACTTCTGGGATCTTTAGGGGGGTACCTGACAGGCACTGCAGTCTTGTTGAACTGAGACAGCCTCCGGAGCAGCTTCTTCACAATCCCTGGGTACCTGCTGGAGAGGTCCACTCTTTCGTACGGGTCAGCCGTGATGTTGAAAAGCCAAATACTTTTGCCCGTTGACAAGGTGATCCTCTCATTATGCCATCGGTTTGGACCCAGATTGCTGAAAGACTGAGGTGGAACCCAGTCACTGTAGCCCGGATTTCCCGTGAGCAGCTTCCAGTGCTGCACCCTGATGGCTGACTGGATTGCAGTGTTCCAGATTCCATAGCCTGTTGCCCAGGAGCCATTTTTTGCCTTGGTGTAAATAGGGTCAATATTGTGCAAAATATCCACTCGGGGTGAACGAAGACCTTCACTGATGGTCTCCCAGACGTCATATCCATCTAGCTGAATGTCTTCATCGATTTGCCCTTCAGCCAGTGAAATCAAGGTGGGGTACCAGTCAGTGATGTGCACAAGTTCCTTACATACTGTTCCCTTGTTTTTCAGAAGTGGACTATGCACAAAGCCAACTGCCCGGATCCCTCCTTCCCAGTACGTTCCTTTGCTACCTCTGAGAGGCCAGTTGCTTCCTCCAGCTGTGGGCTGGCCACCGTTATCTGAAGAGTAGATGATAATGCTGTTGTTATAGAAACCATACTTCTTCAGAGCCAGGGTCACATTGTTGATGGCTTCATCCAAGCAGGAGAGCATGGCAGCATATCTCCGCCTGTTGATGTTGATAATGGATCGGTATTGTTCAAAATACCTGCCAGGGGCTTGCAATGGTGAGTGAACCGCCTGATAAGCAATATATAAGAACACGGGCTTTGTGGGGTCATGCGAAGCTAAGATTTGCTGTGCTCTCTGAGTGTACATCTGTGTTGAGTATATGCCATTGTCGTAGTCCCAGGCAGCATTGTCGTTTTCATACAAGTCATAGCCACACATCCCAGGACTGTCACATTTGTAGTGTGTATAATAGTCACCGCTTCCCAAAAGGGAGCCAAAAAAAGTGTCAAATCCTCTCTTGGTGGGCATGCACTCCTTTCTGTAAAAGCCCAAGTGCCATTTCCCAACCATATGAGTGGAGTAGCCGACCTCCTTCAGCTTCTGAGGCAGGGTTGCCTTGTCCAGAGGTAGGCAGTTGGGTTGGGTAGGTCTGATGATAGAGTGCTGAAGTCCTGTGTGTATCTGATACCTTGAGAAAAGAGGAGGCACTGTGTTAGGGCGGGATAAAAGTGACGTTTTCCCTAACAGACGATTCCTAAGTTAAATAATATTTCTATGAAGATCAACTGGACTACAGAGTTAAATACAATCAAATTAGTAGTTCTACCCTCCATTCAAAAGTTGTATTTTTCTTCATTTTTGGTAGTTCTTTGAGAATTTCATACAATATACTCTGATTTCATTCACCCCCTTCCCCCATTTCTCCCAGGTCCACTCCCTTCCTTATCCACCCAAGTTTGTGTCCCCTTTTCTATATTTTTAAAACCCATCAAGTCCAGTTTGTGCTACTGGATGTGTTGGCAAAAGTTTAATTCTAATTAGCTTCATATTTAACATTGGAATACATTTTCAGTACCTTCAAAGCTAAGATTTCACCACTTAATTAAAAATCTTCTTAAAATTCATGTAACAGGCTTAATTAAATAAAACAGAGAATCTTCATTATATGACAGAGAGCTAGCAAAATAAGAAAATAAACCCAGAGAACCAGAGTACTATGGATCCCCTATTAGGTTCTAAATCACTCCGGAGAGTCTTATCTCAAACTAAACAGCAGTACGAATTATACCATAATCTTGTGGTTGATTATCAAACCAACATGCTTCATCCCAAACCTGTTCATACTTCATCCTAAACCTATTAGGTCTCTTAAAAGAGGAAGAGACCTTTGACTACAGAAACAACCTAATTGTTAAAAAGCCACTGTAGCTAGAGCTGGAGTCTGTATTTTTACAGCTCGTCAGGAACTGAGTACTTTGTGTTTCCCAGTGTCTCCTCTTCCCACTTATAAAAATTGCCTATAATGTAATCTAAGAAATCATGGTATCCTTTTTATATATTCATATGAAAGGAATGCTAATATCCAGCATTTTTCAAAGGCTTCCATCCCCCGTCCCCCGAGAACTGGTTACTATCATATTAAGTGTATGGATTTCTTTGAGCCCAGATGTACCTGTTAGTTCATGACACTTTAAAACTAATTGACTATAGTTATTACATAAACTCAAAAGTTTTAAGAAGAAAATATACACAGTCTTAAAAACAAAGTCTACTTACTGGGGATGGGAGCTGGTAGCTAATGAGTGCAGTCAACAGGACTGCAACATACAAATACAGCTCAGCAGATTGACCAATGGTCACTGCAGCTCCCACAAAAGCATTACTGTGCACCTGCAGTTAGCACTCTAGAATTCACAACCTCTGGGACACTTTAAAAGTAGTCCTAAGAGGGAAGTTTACAGCTCCAAGTGCTAAAATTAGAAAGAGCCCCCAAAATGACCTAATGCTGCAATGCAAAACACTGGAAAGGCAAGAACAAATGAAACCCAAACCCAGCAGAAGAGAAGAAATAAGAAAAATCAGAGCAGAAATTAATGAAATAGAAACAAAGAAAACAATATAAAGATTCAATGAATCTAAGAGCTTGTTCTTTGAAAAGCTAAACGAGATTGACAGACTGCTAGCCCAGTTAACCAAAAGAAAGAAAAAAGAATCTAAAAGCTAATTATTTGAAAGGTTAAACAAGATAGGCAGATCCTTAGCCCAGTTAACCAAAAGAAAGAAAGAGCAAATCAAAATGAACAAAATCAGAGATGAATTTGGAAACATCCCAACAGACACCCAAAAGATCCAAACCATTATAAGGGAATATTTTAAAAACATATATCCTAGTAAATTTGAAAGTCTAAAAGAAATGGATGGATATCTAAAATCATGGGAACCACCAGAGTTAAACTAAGAAGAGATCAACAGTTTAAACAGACCCATAACACATAAGGAAATTGAAACAGTAATACAAAGCCTCCCAACTAGAAAAAGCCCAGGCCCAGATGTATTTACAGCAGAATTCTACCAGACATTTAAAAAAGACCTTCAACCAATACTACTTAAATTATTCAAAACAATAGAAAGAGGGAGAACACCTAAATTCCTTCTATGAAGCCAGCATGACTCTAATACCCAAACTAGGTATTTTTGGAATCAAATAAGTTACAAACAGGAACATTTAGATAAAAAAACCCCAAAAAACAAAAAAACAAAATTTGGGCTGGAGAGATGGTTCCACAGTTAAGAGAACTGGCTGCTCTTGCAGAGGACCCAGGTTCTATTCCCAGCACCCACATGGTGGCTGGCAACTATCTGTAACTACAGTTCTAGGAAATGAGACACCCTCTTCTGACCTCTGTGGGTATTGCATGACATGGATGCACTTATATACATGTAGGCAATACACTCATACACATAGAATAAAAATAATAAATAAAAAATATTTAAAAAGAAAACCAACAAAATTCATGCTGGGGAGATGGCTCAGCAGGTCAAGTGGTTGAGACACAAGCATGAGGACCTGAGTTCAGATTCCCAGAACCCATAAAGAAAAGTGGAGCATGGTAGCATCTCTGTAATCCCAGCCCTGGTCGGGATGGATATAGGGACTAAATCCCTCATAAGAAAACAAGGTCACTTAGGGTAAGAAGGATGGCACACTTCCTGTGTCTTGGTCTAGCAGAAAGGCATTAGTTTTTTACTCCAACAGGGCTTCTTCACCTGACCTGGATTATCAGTTTCCAGATTCTCTCTCCACCCGTGGAGATCTTTATATCTCCTTTTGAGTGTCTGTATGTATGTGTAATTCTTCATGCATATGGATGTGATTCTTTATCTTTCAAAGTTAGAAGGTGATAATACCTTCTAACTTTGTTTTTTCATAACACCTGTGAAATGTCTATTTGAAAGGTAAAGACACAACCAAAAAAGAAAACTATTGACCCATATCCTTAATTAACATAGATGCAAAAATTCTCAACAAAATACTTGCAAATCACATACAAACACACATAAAAAAGATCATTAACCATGATCAAGTAGGCTTTATCCCAGAGATGCAGGGATGGTTCAATATACACAAGTCAGTAAACATCATTAATCATAGAAATCTACTCAAAGACAAAAACCACATTGTCATCTCAATAGATGCAGAGAAGGCCTTTGACAAAATTCAGCATGCATTTATGTGCAAAGTCCTAGAAGGAATTGGACTGGAGGGAACATACCTCAACATAATTAAAGCTATATACAACAAACCCACAGCCAACATCATTCTAAATGGAGAAAGACTGGAAGAATTCCCATTAAAATCAGGAACAAGACAAGGATGTCCACTATCTCCACTCCGTTTTAACATAGTGCTTGAAACTCTTGCTAGAGCAATAAGACAGGAGAAGAAAAACCAAAGAGTACTAATTGGAAAAGAAGAGGTCAAACTATCATTTTTGCAGATGACATGATACTATACCTAAGAGATCCCAAAAGTTCCACCAGAAAAATCCTAGAACTGAACAACACTTTCAGTATAGTGACAGGTTATAAAATCAATCGACAAAAATCAGTATCCTTTCTATATACCAATAACAAGCAATTGGAGAAAAGAATACAGGGAAATGCTCCCATTAACAATTGCTGCCAAAAAAATATCTTGGAATAAATCTGACCAAAGATACCAAAGATCTCTACAATGAAAAATTTAGATGGTTAGATAAAGAGATTGAGGAAGACACCAGGAGACGGAAGGTCCTCCCATGCTCATGGATTAGAAGAATTAATATTATGAAAATGACCATCCTACCAAAAGGGAATATAGATTCAATGCAATCCCAATCAAAATTTCCATGACATTCTTCACAGAATTAGAAAAAGCCATCCTTAAATTCATATGGAAGCACAAAAGACCCCAGATACCCAAAGCAACCCTGAGCATGAAGAACAACGCTAGGGGGATTACTATACCAGATCTCAAAGTATACTACAGAGCTATAGTCTTAAAAACAGCATGGTAATGGCACAAAAATAGAAACATAGATCAGTGGAACATCATTGAAGATCCAAACCTGAGAACATGCAATTTCAGCCAGCCACCTGATATTTGACAAAAGTTCCAAGAACACACAATGGAGGAAAGACAGCATCTTCAACAAATGGTACTGGCAAAACTGGATCTCCACCAGTAGAAGAATGAAACTTGATCCTTATCGTTCACTTGCACAAAAGTCAACTCCAAATTGATCAAAGACCTCACTGTGAAACTGGAAACCCTGAAACTTAGAAGAAAACATTGGCAATAACCTACAAGATATAGGTGTAGGAAAGGATTTTCTAAACCGGACATCAATTGCTCAGGAAACAAGGTCCAGAATCAACAAATGGGACCTAATGAAACTAAAAGCTTTTGTACATCAAAGGAGGCAACCAGGAAAGTGAAGAGAAAACCTACAGAATAAAAAAAAACCTCACCAGTGACACTTCTGACAGAAATTTAACATCCAGAATATATAAAGAACTCAAAAAGCAAAGAGTCAAGAAACCAAATGACCCAATTAAAAGATGGGCTATGTATCTAAACAGATATATTTCTTCAAAGGAAGAAAGATGGCTAAGAAACATCCCAAAAAGTGTTCAACATTGTTAGTAATTAGAGAAATGCAAATTAAAACCACCCTAAAGTATCACCTTACCCCAATCAGACTGGCTAGGATTAAGAGAACAAATGATACCAAATGCTGGCAAGGATGCGGAGAAAGGGAACACTCATTCACTGCTGGTGAGATTTCAAACTCGTGCAACCTCTACGGAAAACAGTGTGGAGAACTCTTAAAAGACTAAAAATGAACCTACCATATGACCCAGTTATACCACTCCTTGGCATATAACCAAAGGACTCATCCTACTGTAGAGACATTTGTATAACCATGTTTGTTGCTGCTCTTTTCACAATAGCTAAGAGATGGAAGCAACCTAAGTGCCCCTCAACTGATGAGTGGTTAACAAAAATGTGGTATGTTTACACAATGGAGTTCTATTCAGACGCAAAGAAAGATGAAATAATGAAATTTACAGGTAAATGGATGGATCTAGAAACTGTTACACTAAGTGAAATAACACAGACTTAGAAAAACAAATGATGTATGTTCT